CAGCATATATATTTTTATTTCCTTTTCATTCCTAATTTTATTACTACCTTCTTTCCTTTTAAAATTAGTCTTGCCAAAGGTTTAATTTTATTAATCTTCAAAAGAGTCAAATATTGGCTTTCTTGATTCCCTGTATTTAATGTCTTTTGTTTCATTAATTTCCTTCTACCATTTTTGCTTTATTACACTAGTCTTTTTCTAGCTTCTTAAGGTGAAAGCTTAGCTTATACATTTTTATCTTTTTTTCCCCAATAACCGTTTATGGTCAAATTCTAATCATTTAGGTTTAATTTCTGCTCTTACACTTACTAACTGTATAACCTTGGGCACCTTCTGTGTCTTAACTTACTCCTATGTGAAATGTGGAGAAGAATAATACTGACCTACATCACAGGGTTAATGTAAGGATTCAATAAGTAAGACATCTTAGAACAGTGTCAGTTCCAGAGAAAGCCCTTAATAAACCCTAGCTAATATCAATACATCTTCATTTATGAATCAGCGAACAGCTATTGACCCCTGATATGACTGAGGAGAAGTCTGTTAATTTACACTACTCCCCACCACTCTGTTTCCCAGTGTTGATATTTACTGGTGGTTAATCTACTTAGCACCTTTACAACTTAAAAATATACTTAATGTTTCATTTTCACAAACACTTGACATTGTGCAACTCTAAATTTTTCTCTTTAAGATTGGTTTACTTAGTTTTAATCCTGAGTGTACCTCCACATGGCTCAACAAAGCACTCACAAAAATTTTTAAATCCAGCACCTATTTCTACTGTTCTCATTACTCAGAGAAAGTACTTATTCTGCCATCCTGGTAGAAATGGAAGATGTAACTCGCTGAACTTAAACCACTAATACGGAATACCTCTAATAGTGACAGGAAGTAATGTTATATTCTGATTTTTGCTTAAAGAAAGGATATAATGTTTTTTCCAAAGGCCAGGTCTTAAAACAGATTCAATGGACAAAATACAGCTAGCTCAATAATGTGATACAAAAAATTTTTATTAGTCATGAAAAAAAATCCTGGCAGAATGCAAATTAGCACCTCAAACTTAACATCCAAAAAACCCCAAAACAAAAAACTCTGAACATCTGTGTAGCACTTTAAAGTGCTTTTACACATAATACCTACATTTGATCTTGAGAGCATTCTTGTAAAATGGATAAAATGATGACCAATTCTGAGACTCAGAAGATTAAGTGACTTGCCTCTTTTTGAATTATCTACACCATGTCATTCAAACCCCAAATCATACCACAGATTCTGTATTTACTTTCACTTAACTCCACTTTCAGCTAAATTACTAAAATATCTTTATTAGATAAGAAACATTTTAAAAATTAAATGACTTAAAGGGATTTGAAACCAACAGCATTTCATGTCCATTCTAAAGGAGTTAAGAACACACAAGCAGCATTCTGATTAAGAGGAGGCAACATCAAGTCTTAGTAATGACCACTAACCAACCCTAGTATGCTCATTCTCTCAGCCTATTAAACAGTAAGGGGGATCACCCACCTCTATCCTGAATCAGAAGGGCCATCAGTAAAAATTAATTTTAGAAGCACTGTCTGTAGTGATGAGGACTAGTTAGTAAGGCCAGAATGACAAAGCCCCAATGGAGAAATTTGAGGATAGAGGTCTGTGATAAGCCCCAATTCGGCTATTGGCAGATTCCACTTTGTCTCTAAGGAATAGTACCTCCTCAATCATTATCCCAAGTCAGCAGTGGTGACCTTCAATGCACTGAAAGTACTGTGGTGATTCAGGATGATCCCTACTATTAAGAAAAACAAAAAAATTTGTATGGTGCATAATAGTTCACAAAGCACTTCTGTACATATGCGATCTCATTTAATCGCCCTAAGACTCTGCAAAGAAGGCAGAAAAGATACTGTCAGCTTTATTTTGTAAATGAAAAAAGCAAAATTTGGAGGTTAAATGACAGTTACATAGCTAGCAAGTGGCATTGGTAGGACTAGAACTCATTTCTTCAGATTCTGAGGCCAATACTCTTCTCACTATTAACTCACTGCTAAAGATACAACAGTGTGTGAATTTCTTTAATGGAATAAGGGCATGTCAAATGTCTCATCTTTGGACCCACACAGGCTTTGCTGTGTGTCCTAGTGTCACTTAAGCAAAAGAGTAAAAATTACCACTGATCTTATACATGAATATGACAGGGTCCAGTAGAACGTAATTTCTTAAGACAAATAATTTTAAACCTTATACTCCCATTCCACCGTAAATAGGCTAAGGCAGACGCTCCGCTGTCTCAAAGACCACAAATTAGAACTCACTGCCTATCTTCCTCCAAGACCAAAAAGGCCAATTTTCTCTCTCACCTGTCAACCCACCTGGCCTTCCCTGAATCCTCATCTCTAGAATGCTGTTTATCCTTGATCTGACCCAATCTCCCACCCTTCTTCTCCTCAAATCCCTACACTGCTGGGGACCTTCCTGTTTGTGCTCAGGAAGCCCCTCACAGATCTGCATAGCTTGTCTGAACGGAAATTCCCTTAGCTCTTTGTCCTTTTGGCTGATCCCTCAGGACGCTGTTTTCCTCTATTTCTCTCTCAGTTTACTACCCATATTCCATTTACATCAGGGTGAGGGAATAACTAAAGTTATTTTCTTTGCTCCTCACTGCCATTTCCAGACTATTATCTCTCTTCCCTTTTATGAAGTCATGCTCTTCTGAGGCTCATACCATCTTGCAACACTCCCCTCCTCTTCCTCTTTATTGGTATCTCTTGATCACCTGGTCTGATCCTCATTCATTAATGTTCACTACTCTCCAAGGTTTTGACAATCACATGGATTGGATCAAAACCTCAACTCTCCTTTTTACCCCACTTAACTCACCATTTGCATTATTATATGTTGAATCTTGTCATCAATAGAAACAGAACTACCACAGATTAAAGATCCCATTCTTCAAATGTAAGTTCTTATCCTTGGAGATCTTGTACCTGAGACACCCAATGACCCCAACAGCTTCTCCTTTTTCATCAGCATAATTTTTTTCCTCATACCTCTTCATGTTCAGTCCATATTTCAGAGTTCCTCTTTGCTGAAATTACTGTGTCAAGATTTGCAATTCCCTGTCCCTCCCTCATTGTCATGTCTATTAAAACTTCAAACCTGTGTAAACCTATGACTCTGCTTCACCCTTCTTTGTGTTTTTATCTAAGCAGCTGAACTTTGGTGGGGAAAAATCATACAATTAGGCATGCTGCTTTCAATTTATTTTTTTAAGATTTTATTCATTTATTTATTTATTTGTCAGAGAGAGAGAGAGAGAGAGAGAGCGAGCCGCACGAGCACACGCGAGCACACGCATGAGGACGGGAGAGCAGCAGGCAGAGGTAGAGAGAGAAGCAGGCTCCCTGCTGAGCAAGGAGCCCGCTGCAGGACTCCATCCCAGGACCCTGGGATCATGACCTGAGCCGAAAGCAGTGGCCCAACCAACTGAGCCACCCAGGCGTCCCTGCTTTCAATTTATATTCATAACCTCCAACTTCACACAGGCATTCAACATTGCTCAGCACACGTACTGTCTTCCTCTACTAAGCATACACCCTTTACCCCCACTGCAATGTCTATTTCATGCTTACTTCTCTCTCCTGAAACAGAACTGCCTAATCTTCCCTAATCCGGGAATTCGGGAGTTCCCTAAACTCCCTAATCTTGCATCCATTCTTCTCACTACCAGCTAATAATCTTGCCTCATTAAACCACCAGATTGGAACTCCCTCATCTTCCCATCTCAAAAATCAATACAATTTCCTGCATCTGCACCCAACTTCTAGCCTGGTTGAACTTATTACATGTCCTCAACTACCCAGGAAGATTCCTTGTAATGGTTCAACTTGCTTCTGATTTTAAGTCTTCGAGCTGTCAGCGTCCTACTCTCCACAAGCAAATTTAGCTGCATTCACACTCATCTTTCCTCCATATGTTACACTCAAAGACTTTTTACCTAACCCTTAAATCTATGCTCTGGATTATATCTCAATCTGCTTCCCTTGGACTCTATCAACAACCACCACCTTATATATTCAACCTGAAGCTCTCCCTTCCTTCCTCCCCTTCCCTTCTGTCTCCTTCAAGTTTGTGTGTGTGTGTGTCTTAAAGATTTTGTTTATTTTTTTTATTTTTTATATTTTTATTTTTTAAAGATTTTTTTTTTAAGATTTTTATTTATTTATTTGACAGAGAGATCACAAGCAGGCAGAGAGGCAGGCAGAGAGAGAGGAGGAAGCAGGCTCCCCGCTGAGCAGAGAGCCTGATGCGGGGCTCGATCCCAGGACTCCGAGATCATGACCCGAGCCGAAGGCAGCGGCTTAACCCACTGAGCCACCCAAGCGCCCCTATTTTTTAAAGATTTTATTTATTTGACAGAGATCACAAGTAGGCAGAGAGGCAGGCAGAGAGAGAGAGAGGAGGAAGCAGGCTCCCTGCTGAGCAGAGAGCCCGATGCGGGGCTCGATCCCAGGACCGTGGGATCATGACCTAAGCCGAAGGCAGAGGCTTTAACCTGCTGAGCCACCCAGGTGCCCCGATTTTGTTTATTTATTTCAGAAAGAGAGTGCAAGACAGCACAAGCAGGGGGAGCAGAAGAGGGAGAAGCAGGCTCCCCTCCTGAGCAGGGAGCTCAACTAGGGCCTCGAATGCAGGACTCCAGGATCATGACCTGAGCCAAAGGCAGACGGTTAACAGACTGAGCCACTCAGGTGCCCCCTTTTTTTGCATTTAAAAAATAGCCTTTACTTAACAGAAAAAAATACACGGAGTCACAAGTGTTCCTAGAATGTGGAATACATGTTTTCTGACAAATTCTTTTCTACTTTTTTTTTTTTTTATCAACTCCATATATCAATCCTAAAATGCTGCATATTTTTTTGAGAACATTCAAAACCCTTCATTCACTCCACAAGTATTTACTGCCACCCTTAACCTACCATGTACTCTTACATGTGCTGGAAATTCAGCAACAAGACATTCGGCTTGGCCAGGAAATCACCATTAAGACAGACTCGGTCAGTTACCTCACCAGCTCTGTTCTCTCCATTTCCATTCCTCAGCCCCAACCGAATCTCTTCCCCATGTAAGCATTTGCCTCACAGAAAGCTGATACCACCTCCAAGGGTGGTCCTGATTTTTTTCTCCCCAGCTTTCTTGAGATAAAACTGACAAATAAAAATTGTGTATGTTTAAGGTATACAACTTGATGTTTCGATATTAGTACACAATGGGAAATGATCACCAAAACTGTGTTAACGAACATATCTACCTCACGTATTTTAACCGTTTTCTCTCTTAGCAAATCTCAAGCATCCAACACGATATTGCTAACTAGAGTCACCATGTTGTACATCACATCACAGAACTTATCCATCTTTCCTAACTGAAACTTTGTATCCTTTATCCTTCAAGTCTTTCTTACACACACACACGGTTTTCCTTTGACCTCACGTTTTCTTTGCACTCTCCTCCTCAAGGTGTTCACATTCACTCAGCCCTTCCTTAACTCCCATTCATTCCTATCTGCTGCAGTTCAGCTTCTGCTCACTTAACTAAAATGGCCCTTTTAGTATGGTCTTCAAAGGTCTCACGGACAATTCCATGGATATTTTTCAGGACTACGCTGATTGCTCTGCAGCGCTTTGCAGTGATAACTCTCAGAGGCCTCTTTTCTTGCTTTCTGGGACAATACACTCTCCGGGCCACTCTCATCCCCTCTTAGTTTTAATCCTAAATTGCCTCTGATGAAAGTATCAACAAGCAGTGAAAGGCTGGAAGGCAGGAAGCATAAGGAAGAAAGTAAAACAAGAGATAAGAATAATCTGCTGGCCTGTGGAGAATCAAATGCTAACTGAAATAATCAGACTTACGTGTGTGAGTACAGCCCACAAGTCATCATCAAACCTCATTTTGTAGATGAAGAAATGTAGGGTGAAATTTTTATGCAACCTATGGCACAAGTTCTAAGACCAGATAAGCTGGCCATTCACGCTACAACCATAAAGGAAAGGCTGACACCATTTTTCCAACTTGAGCAACCTTTGCTTAAACACGTGAGTTCCACTTATCATGTTCTTGTCTTCACTATGTACGAAGGCATATACATATATATGCAACTGCCCTACTGATGCAGAATGCACAGTCAAAATCTAGGGTCAAGAAGAGCTAAATGCAAAGCACCTTTCTTTAAACTATATTAAAACAGAAATTCACTGAGTATTTGAAATACTCTGTGCTAAAATGACAAAGTGAGCTATTTATTTTTGCATATGATTTGAACATTTCTTATCTGAAGTGCAAGCAGTCTAAACATGAAGCCTGCTAACTAGACATAACTAAAGCTGCCGCTCCGTTATTGGCTACGATTTTTCCTTATAGCAGTATCAGGAAGCAGCCTGGTATATATACATGACATAACCTTGCCCTACATTTCAGAAGAAATACGTTTTATTTTAAATAATGATTTTCAGTGATATGGGTAAACGATTTAATCTCCCATTCCCTTGCTTTCTTTTAAATTGAATCAGTAATCATCCCAGCAGTTAACCCAAAGCACAGGGATGTTACAGGGAAATCAGTAGTTATTTCTAAGTGTCTTGAGTTCCTTATGAGACAGGTTACTCTGGGCAACCCCACAAATTTCTGGCATTAGACTCAAACAGGCAGTTAGACAGCAGAAGGCTATTCAAGCAAACAGAAAGAAAAAAGGTCCAAATTGTGTATGTTATTTCAAACAAAGACACTCAGATAAATGCAAAGAATAGTCTAGTTTTTAAGAAAAGAAAACGGTAAAGTAACTCAAAAGAAAAGGAGCTAGATATTAGAAAATAACCTTAAGTAAGAGGAAGAGGTTGTTGAGACAGCTTAGCAGAGACAAAAGGCACTGCAGAACAGAGTCATCCATATTCCCACACTGTAAGATAAGGCAGATAAAAAGCCAATTAAACTATGTACAGATTTTTAAAAATTATGTAGGGATGATAACTTGGCTGGCTTATCTGTCCATCAGCAAAAAATTATTTGGTTTTCTTTAAAATTTTTTCTATAGAATTTATGCTCATATAAAATGCAATATTAACATTATTCACCCAAAATTTCCCCTCCAGAACTGAAGCCACCATGATCTCTTTTCTTTATAATGTTCACTCTACAGGTGGTGGAGTATTACTCTAAATAAGTCAGCAAAAGTCATATGAAGAGATAGAGAGCTGTGACTATTCCCAAATTGGAATGATGTGCCATCAGTCTGGTTTTTACCTTTTAATACTTCTTTCAGAGGCATGGCTTCTGCATACAACTAATACTGCACAGAATGGTAACCATGCAGTAGGTGTTTTGGACATCTGCTCTGCCAATGCAGCAAATAATAGATCATGAACTTACTCTTCATGCAAAGTTCAGAGTGCCAGATTATGCTTTGGATTTCACTGATTATTGCATTACTTCATAAATGTTAATTACATTATAACAAAGAAACAAATGAAAGAATTTAGTATGTTATAAAAGCCTCTACCATTACAACTATTTTAAATAATTTTCCGTATCTACCATCTTAGAATTTTGCCTAAGATCATGTTGCCTGAGATCAACTTTTTATACTGATAAAGGCACTTATTCTTAACATGTACAGATACCAATAAAAACAGTCAAGAACTGGAAACCATGGTAAATGATTGGTTTCATTACTTAACCATGTTTATAGTATCTATAGAGAACATCAAAAGCAATCTTCTAACCCTGGTATAGCTCAAATTATGAGAAAAATTATGCAAATATACTACATATAACAAAAATAGCTTTAGTTACTCATTCCACTAAATCAAAACAAGGAAGGTAAGAAGGGAGCTAACTAAAAATGAATATTATGGAAGATAAATACCTTTAGTTGATTGTTAAATGAATCCATTTCGGATAGCTTAGATGCAGTTTCTTTTTCAAGAGCGTCTAATTGTTCTTTAAGTCTTTGGCATAATTCTTCCTTTTCCAATGATTTTTTATGAAGCAAACCAATCCCTAAATCTGAAATACAAATATCAGATAGTTTACATTCGGCAGAAATTCTTCTGTTACTACTGGTGATTGACTTTTACTCTCACAAGATATCTAAGTCAAACTCCTATGACGCACACCTTAAACTTGCACAGTGGTATATGCCAATTATATTGCAGTAACACTGGAAAAAAAAGATGTATAAATTTAAAATTACTCCATGGTTGTCTACATGATGGCTATTTCATAATTTATATAACTATTCCCTTTTGGATTGCCATTAGGTTGCTTCTAATTTCCTACTATTTACACGAAAATGCTGCAATAAATATCCTCGTCCAGGTATTTGAAAGCACACGTGGAAATATTTTACATGCCTAGGAGGTGAATGAACTGCCATGTAAAATGATTTGAGCACTTTAAATTTTGACAAAAACTGCCAAACCGTCTTTCCAAAAAGGAACACGAATATAAAATGACACCAAAGTACCTGTTTCTGCACACCCTCATCAACACTGGATATTATCAACCTTTTTTCATTTTCTCCAATGGGCAAAAAAAGAAACCTTATTGTTATTTTAATTTGTATTTCCTTGATAACAACTGAAATCAAATCAACACCTATTTATAGGCTCACTGGTCACCTTCTTGGATTGCCTCACCCCATCCACTGCCTTTTTTCTTCCTGTTGGGTTGTCTTTATTTCTGATCTGCAGCAGCTATAAATTCTTGTTGTACTGTAGTTCCAATGCTGCGCTGTTTATCGATGTCTTTCATCATGAAAAAGTTCATTTTTGTATCATCGAATCTGTAAATATTTTCCCTCATAGCTCTAGGGATTATTTGAAGAAATGTTTCCAACAGTGAGATTATAAAAAGGTTTTTCTTTTTTATAACATTTTTTCTAGAGGTATTTTTTTATGTTTAGCCTCTTAGCTTACCTAGAATTTATTTATGTACATGGGTTGAGGTAAAGAGCTTCCCTACCTCCCTTTCAGAGAGTCAATTGTCCCCCAGATCACATATTTGGAAGCCCATCCTTCCCCCACTTGTGTTAAAGGCCAAACTTATCATATCTCACAATTTAGAGTACGATAAGACATATATTTAGTTCCATCATTCTGTGTTTCCTTTCTGATCAATAATATTCTACTTTAGGGACTAGAGCTTTTCTAACATGTTTTCTTAAAATTTTTTTAAATTTAAATTCAATTAACATAAAATGTACTATTTCTTTCAGGGGTCCTAACATGTTTTGATACCTGGTAGAGCTAGTGTTCTCTCCCCACCAATGTCATTCTTTTTCAAGCCTTGCCTAATCTTGCACGTTCTCTTCTAGATGAATCTGTGAATTATCTTGCCAGGTTTCATTTAAAGAAACCTGAATGGAATTGAATGTACAGGACAAAGTAGTAGAGAATAACATCTTTACAACGCTGAGCTATATCAGCGTTCCTGAGTCAGGAACATAACATGTAGCTACTTATCCAGGAATCTACTAATCCATGTAAAATTTTACAGCTACACATTTCTTTATACATAATAATGAGAATCCTAATGTAAATGAGACCTTTGTTCATGATATTTTCTTTTTTTAAAGATTTTATTTATTTGACAGAGAGAGATCACAAGTAGGCAGAGAGGCAGGCAGAGAGAGAGGAGGAAGCAGGCTCCCCACTGAGCAGGAAGCCCGACGCGGGGCTCGATCCCATGACCCTGGGATCAGGACCCGAGCCGACGGCAGAGGCTTTAACCCACTGAGCCACCCAGGCGCCCCTGTTCATGATATTTTCTAAGTGCTTTTGATATACAGTAAAAGTTGCTGATTTTTACATGCTTTTTATCCAGACATCTTACTAAATTCTCTTATAATTATCTTGTAGCTTTCCAGTATTTCAACAAATATTTTCTCAAGAAATTACACCTCTGCTATGTGCAAGGCACTGTACTAGGTTCAATAGCAGGGGAAAAAGAAGGACAAGGCATGGGTCCTAGCCTCAAGTAGTTCAGAGTCTATTTCAGTTGGGAGACAAGCACTGTGGAAAAAATCAGTTAATTTACACTCCTAGTACTCTTCAAAATGAGCATCACGGATAATGGATGTTTCAACACTGGATGTGAATAGATCATATCTATGAGCAAACTGAAAATCCAGAGAGGCAATGTGGTGGTACAGTGGGCTTCAGACTGAGACAAGAATTTGAGAACTATTGTACCACCTTGGGCAACCACTTAATCTCTCTGAGCCTCAGCTTTGCTGAGCTACACAAGGGGAATAACAATACCTACTTCACCGGACTATTGTAAAAATTAAAAGACACAGTGCATGAAAACTGCTTAGCATGGTGCTTGGCCATGGATGGTAATCTTCAGTGGCAACAGGGATGCAGAGAGCAATCTAAGGGATACAGGGTGCTTTGAAAACTGCAAACAAAAGCATCCTATTTTGAACCAATAACTGTAATAACAGGTGGATCACATTCTGTAAGAAAGACTAGCTCTACCAGGTCTCCAATAAGACACAGTCCACATTCCATTCACAGTCCAAATACTGCAACAACGAGAGTGATGCTATGCTCTCTGTGACTGCATAGATCAGGAGGGCTGCTCATCCAGCCTCTGGAATGCCTGTGGAGGGTTGAGGTAGGGGCTGATATGCTTCGAACAGCCAAGAAAACAATTATGTGGAAGGAAGATGGTCTGAGAAGAGACGTGGACAGACTGTTTCAGTGGAAGGTGGGAGACACAGCAGGAACAGTTCACAAAAGTAAAATTCTCTATGCCTGGTATTCTTCCAAGTGAAGGGCCCTTCACTAGGACACCATTCTCAACTTCTTTCCACCCCTTCAGTAATTGGTGGGCTCACGATTAAGGACTTGGGCATACACAGCCTAGACCCTTCCAGTCCCTCGTGTTCTTGAGACTGAACTGCCCACAGGAAGCCTGTTCTACTTTGTTGTACACCCAGTTTTTACAGGGGTGACTGTCCCACTCACAGGTAAGCCAGGCTGTCCAATATCAGCTTTACCAAAAATGAGGCAATATTTTTGGTCTCTCATATGTCTTGCTCCTTTGCCTTATTTATTCATTCAGAACTTGGGCAAAGATGGGGGATGCTGTTTACTGGACTTCCTAAAGAGCCAGAAGTATAAGAAAGAGCCCTGTAATGGAAAGACTGACAGATACTCAAAGGGAGACACTTAGAATACTTCAGTCAGTTCTAACATGGTATTTGCAGATTTACCTTTAAGTAAACCTTTCTTCCGTTATGTTGTTACTGGCATGCTATCCAACATAGAGATCTTTTTTTCAGTATCCTGGTTGGAACTTGGGTCAAGAAAAATGTGACATTCCACAAATTGCCTTGGACTATTTTGCTCCAAAGGTGTCAGTGGGCCAAGCCAGTAAAAGTTTTTATATGAATCAGTTACGTGATATGAAAGGTCTGGGAAGAGCGTTCCATTCTGCTTAGGTCTAATACCGCTATACACTATCACCCAGAATTTCACAGGCTTGGTCCCATGGTAGAATTTCCTGAAAGTTCTTTCCATTAGTGTAGGATTTTGCCAGAAATGTACATACAGTCTTGTGTTAGAGCCAAACCTAGATCTTATTTAACTGTAGTCTAACATTTTATTTGACTGATATTTGAAACATAGGTTATGAAGATAGGAAGGCATACCACAATGACTACTTATTTCATTCTTATTTATTTATAAGGTTTTTTTTCTCACCATAGCACATATCCTCCCTAATGTCCATCACTCAGCCACCCCATCTCTCCCACCTCCCTCCCCTCCAGCAGCCCTCAGTTTGTTTCCTGAGATTGAGTCTCTCATGATTTGTCTCCCTCTCTGGTTTCATCTTGTTTCATTTTTCCCTCCCTTTACCTATGATCCTCTGTCTTGTTTTTCAAATTCCTCATATCAGTGAGATCATAAGCTAATTGTCTTTCTCCGATTGACTTATTTACTTTTTATTGTTAAAGATGCTCTAACATCTGTTACTTTTTTTCACATTATTTTGAAATTTTTAACTACAGACAAGAAATGCGATGTATAACAGAATAATGTTATTTTAACAAGTAACAGAGTATGACTGGTACGGTCATTCAGAAAATAAAAGAGGTAAAACAAACCTTAGAGACTTACCAGGTGTGTTACCGAGTTGCATGTTCTTAATTCTTTCATTTAGTAACTGCTTCTCAGGTACCAAATAGATAAGCTTATTTTGATAATCCTTATTAAAAAAAAAGTAGTACCTGATTAAAATTCTGTCATGTTG